TTAATATAATTAGTTGTGGTATTGTGTTGTTTTACTCCTCCGCCTCCTCCACTCCCTCCACCTCCATCTCTATCTCCTCCTCTTCTCCCTCCATCTCGGCCTCTATCTCCTCCTCCTCTTCCTTCTCCTCCTCCTCCTCCTCCTCCATCTCCTCCTCCTGCTCTATCTCTTCCTTCTCCACCTACTATTCTATCTCTTCCTCCACCTTCATCTCCTCCTCCTCCTCCTCCTCATCCTCGTCATCATCATCCTCACCACTTCTCACCTGTCCACTGTCAGGTTACTTCAAGCTGGACATCCAGGACCGCATCTGCCTGGGTAAGCACGTGGGCTTTGGCCTCATGGTGCTCATTGCCTGTACCGAGTTTTATGACCCAGAGTTCAAAAGGTGAGCGTCTTGACATGTTCTGTTTTTTTTTAATCGTTTTCTTTTTGTTTAAATTTCGTTGGCTCTAATATGTTTGTTTTGTTTTGTTTTGTTGGGTTTTTTTCTTTCTTTTTGATTCGGTTGGCTCTGAGATGTTTGAATGTTTGCTTTGTGTTTTTTAAAAAAGAATTCGGGTGGGTCTGATACTGGTTGTTTTTGTTTGTTTGTTGTTTTTTTTTTGTCTGTTTGTTTGTTTTGCTTGTTTCTTTTAATTCAGCTGTTTGTTATGGTTTAACTCTTCCCGCGACCGGTGTCTGTGGTATAGCGGTTAGGCGCTTCACCGTGCCATCGGACCAGAGTTCGATTCCAGAGTGGAAATGATTTTTTATATTGAGTATCTCTGTCTCGGTCCTACTGCTGTGATAGTGTATTCTTTTCAGCATGGCTTGGCTGTGACAGCGAGGAGCAGTCTTTGGGATGACGTCTGTATAATTCTTGTTGAAGCAACAAAACAAATTAATTATAACAAGCCTCCCAGGCTAGCCAAAATTGAACCTTCGATCTAACAATAATTGCCGTAGGTGGTTAGTGCGTACTCTTGTGCGGTTTGCTCCTTTTTTTCGATATCAAGCAAACATATATTATTGTTCGTATCTCCCGTCCTTCTTTTTTGTGTTTCTTACTCTCTTGTAACAGCTCTAATCTACGGCACTAAGAATGACCTTATTGTGTTGCAAGCGCCGTAAAACAGTAACAATGTCCAGCCCGACGTGTCTACTACTGTTAGCGGAGGGCGGCCCCTCCTCTTCGTTCAGACGTTTCTTCTTCTTCTTCTTCTTCTTCTTCTTCTTCTTCTTCTTCTTCTTCTTCTT